ATTCTTTTTCATTTTTTCTTTGATGGTAATTCATTGAGAGAAAAACAAGGATGAATATTTTCCAATAAATGATTATGCTATATTGAACTTTTTCTCTCAATTTTTAATTAGTATAATACCATCAGTTTCTTCCCCTAGTATTGGCCATCGCTCTAGTTACACAAATATTTTCTTATGATTATAAGAAATATTAATATTATGATTTGAATTATTTTGTAATATTATACATATTAGTGGGCCAATATTCCAATATATCCAAGTAACTTTTCCAACTGTTGAGTGGTTACTAGAAAAAGAATATTAGAGATATAATGTTAGGTCTAATAAATATCTTTACGTGCCAAAAACTAGTCCGCAGTCCAGTTTGTCAGTTGATTAGGTATTTCCATAAGGAACCAATTCCAGTGGCATGGAAGAAACCGAGAATTGGATGGACCAAATTAAATTTTGATGGGTCTTGCAAAAGTTTAAGCGGAAAAGCTAGCATTGGAGGGGTTGTCCGAAATCATAATGCAGAATTTTTGCTTGGCTATGCTGAATCCATAGGACAAGCCAATAGCACTATCGCTGAACTTACTGCACTTGTGAGAGGCCTTGAATTAGCCCTTGAAAATGGTTGGAATAATGATATTTGTTTTGAAGGAGATGCCAAAACATTGGTTGAAATTATAGTGAAAAAGAGACGAGCTAGATGCATGGAAGTACAAAGACACGTTAGTCATATAAATTCCATTCTTCCAGAGTTTAACAATTGCTTTGTGAGTCATATATATAGGGAAGGGAATAGGGCAGCTGATAAATTTGCTCAAATGGGGCATGACCTGGACCAGCCTAGAATTTGGAGACACATTCCTCCAGATGAAGTCTTGGCTATTGTGCATGAAGATGCTCAAGGTAAAATTGTTCTTCGAAGGAAAGGATAAATCATTGTATATACTATTAATTATTTTTATTGTTTGTATATAGTCAATATGAAATATTCTTTTTAGTCAAGAAGATGTATATATATGAACTATATCTATTAGGACACAGATATTGGATAAAGAAGTAGAATTATAATTTGCTGATCATGTAAATGACCGGCTAAGTTGAGATGCAATTCAAAGTTCAAATTGCAATCTCTTAAAAGCTGATGCTTAACTTTTCTTGATTATGATTAATGTGAAGTCAAAAGTCACAAATATTTTGACCGAATTAACGCTTTTATATATATATATATATATATATATATATATATATATATATATATATATTTGCCTAAAGGAAGAGCTTCTCAACAATTTATACGGAGGTCAATAACTTAAATAAATGGGCTATGGCATAAAATAGTAAAACAACGTGATCAGTCTATTCACTTTATAGTAAGTCAAATGAAAGTGACTTGTGCTGGAAGTAATATCACCTATTTAATTAATTTTCTACTTGATTATATCTTGATCATTTTGAAGCTTCTATTTTGTACAATGTATGTACACCTGACAGCAACTATGTTATTTTTTCACTCATGAGAAGGACTCTCTTTTGGTATAATACATAACAAGAGGCTCTAGGCTTCTTTCCTTAAAATTGACATTCAATGGGAACATGCAACATCATATCCATCCGATATAAATGTTTTATTATAAAATGCTCTGTCTACCTATTTTTTTTAACACTAACAAAACTGTCAGTGCACTCTACCTGTCGATGGTGCTGCGGCCAAATTTCCCCTTACAACACTGTATTATAGAGAAATGTTGTTCGAACAACATTTCAAGTAGCTACTGTCGGGAATTTTTTTACATTAGTAATGTGATATCCAGAAAAAAAAAATCATAAATAAACATATTAATTAAAATACAAAAAATATGTTGTAATTATAAGTATTTAAATGATGCAAATAAAATAACAAAACTCTTGAATCAAATTATCCACAGGTAATAAAGGAAACTACAGTTCAAGCCCACTTGTAAAACCGTGCTATGTTTTTTAGAGAAGTTTTTTCCACGTTTGAAGTTGTCGACTGTCAACAAATAATTAATTGCAAATTATGGAGTATATTTTTCCCATCCATATCTGACATAAATCAGCCCTATCAAAGTGGCTTTCTGCGTTTAATTGTTATAAGTAAATTTCAATTAAAAATATAGGTTAAGATAAATTAGTAATATAATTATAGACCTAAAGACAAAGATGAAATTGTAGTACAAGATTCTATTCCAGTACAACTGACCAGTACAATTTTGATGCTGAAAGGCATGAAGAATGAGTAGTAAAGGCTAACAACTTGTCAAGTACTGAAAAAGTAGTACATATATATCAAAGGAGGTTGGTGTACTGCATTATCTAAGTTTGTTGTACATGTGATATCACATCATATTTATATAAAGGATGCATTACCCAGAAATAGGGATCTCATGAAGTATAGTAAACTCCCCATATTGGAGAAACATCATTGAGTGCAGCGTTGATGAAGCTAACTAGTATTAGCAATTGCCTTGTGTCTCTCCTGTGGATGCTAAACGGTTTTATCGACGCTGCACTCAATCATGTTTTTTCGCAATGTGGTAATTCGATGATGTTGCTGAGTGGAATGCCCGTGTTCTTGCATTTCAACTGCAAGGTTTTGCTTCTCTATGTTTGTCTTCTCTCTTTTCCCTTTGATGGATGTTCAATGCATATGAAATCTTGCATTTATGTCTTCTTCTTTTGCATAAAAATTGACCTTTTTTAAATTTACGGAGCGATGTTGAACTATCAAGTTTTATTATTTAAACTACTAAAAATAATATAGAATGCGACATCGCATACATATTTTTTTTATTTCTTATTTTTTTAATCTTTTTATATACACATATTTTAAAAATACCTTTGGGTGTTTATATACTGTTAGTGATACATAAAACATTTTTCTAAATATCTTTCTTCTATTCTGTGTTAATTTTTTTTATTTTACATAATCTGCATTCTTTTCAGCTAATGTAACTGCAGAAATTTAAGAGTGGAGCATCATGACAACGACACGTTTGTTTGACAGAGTCAGTAAATATGTTTTGATTGAAGATTTGTTTTGATCAGAATACTAGCATATCAATTCACTTTGAAATTTCCCTTGCACCATGTATTGGATGTAGCTCGTGAAATGAGGAATATTCTGAAGCTGCAACTCTTTTTACTTAATGTATACGTCATCCAGCATTAGAACAAAAAATACATGGATAGAGTCCTTGTGGTTGCCACAAAATTTCTTTCTCCGTTAACTTTCTATCTAACCCTATTAGGAAATAACAAATGCAAAACGTCGATTTTCTCTCGTCTATTCTTCTACACATGTTTCTAATTTTGTATGCATGCATAATTTCAAGTTATGAATTTTATTTTCCTACTTCTTCCTTAGGTATAATTTCTCATTTTTTTGGGCTGTTAACATCATTTGAGAATCGTAACAACTACCGCTATCTTCCTAGCTAGTGGGTTATCCTATTAAACGTCATATTAAAAAAGTGCAATTGCTTAGGAAAACAAAACAAAAACTAGAATAAAAAAATAAACAGCTTCTAGGGAGAGCCTAGTAGTTTCTGTGCTAAAAACAAAAGATAAATCAAATAGGTGCTCATCTTTACATTTATTGCAGTGGCAACAACTAATATGCAGAAATGCTTCAAAGGTATCTCTCACAACCGCGAGACGCGTCACTTACAAAACAAAAAAGCCTTTAGAAGCTCATATTCATGCTATATATAAATTATTAAACCTTTCAATTAGTAATTTGGCACCAGCACATGCACATCATAAATTTGTCCAAGATTTCCCATAAAGGTAAAAGACTCATGATCGATTCGCATTTCCAAAGCCCATCTGACACGTGCTATTGACAAAATAAATAAATAAAGGAATTCCAGAATGGAAGACTATGATCAAACATCAGAATCATACTCTTACCAAATACTTAAACAGTTTGCAAAGTTTCAACAAAACAAAACATCTCTTCATCGTATGCATGCAGCATCACCGTACTCTCCTTGAATTCAATTATAAGCCCACATTTTCAGTACAATGTAGAAAAAATGGGCTTCATCAAACGACACTTCAGATTTTTCAGCCCATAATGAATTACATTTAGTACTCTATTTCCCACAAACTGAACCTCAAAAAATCAGCTAGTCTTTAGCATAAGGAAATATCTCATATATAGTAATTACTCTTGAACAGTGCAGGCACAGGCTAATCAATTCTTCTATTGGTAAAGTTCCGTTATCTAAAAGTAGAAATTAACAGGAAAATCAAAACGTTTGGCAAATTGCTTCTTGAAATTCCAATTTACCTCTTTCAAATGAGTAATATTCACAAAGTAGAATACATACAATTACAAATGTGTGTGGCATACTGTTATAGTTAGACATCAGTTTCGTATAAGAGATTGCTAAGAATCATCTTATCTAAAACATTGACTTTGATTTGATACATAAAGAACAAAAGCATACATACAGATACACTATTATATTATACAAATAAAAAAATAAAATAAAAAAAGCTACCAAACCACAGTGGCGCCTGCATTGGCTAATCAAGAATTTTATTTAATTTATGTATCCCAATCTCAATTGCTTAATCAAAAGTTGAATGCTAAATTACAAGCACAGCATTGATTTCAGCCCAAAACCACCCAGAATAGAAAACCTGTCAACAAATCCCACAATAAGCAACCTGAATTTTGCATGGATACAATTTGCAGCCATCCAAAACCTCAGTCCAATACACAAACCAGAAGGAAAAAAAAAGTGAAAACGAAATCAAAATTCAAAATTCACAGAAGAGTTTGCATTGCATGAGGGGAGTGACCAAAAGATAACCAAAAATTTTGATTTTTAAAAAGTCCTGATCAAATCATGATCCTATATTGAGGATTACGAGACTAAACAGGACTCTCTAGTTGTCAATAATTACGGGAATATGCCATGCTATTTCCCAATTTCTTCCCCAATAAATACACTGCTCTTCTAGGCCTAAACAACAACCCTTTTTCTTCTTCTTTTTTCCCTCAGCTCTGCGTGCTTGGTTCCACTTTCCCCAGCAAAATTTTCCCGAGAAAATCCCAATTCCGCCGGGAAAAAATAAAACAAAATTAATAATCGAATTACTAATGGGGAAAAAATCGGAAGAAGAAGAAGCGCTCCCGGAGCATCTGCGATGCAGCCGCACCGACGGGAGGCAATGGCGGTGCCGGCGGCGAGTGATGGAAGACCTAAAGCTGTGCGAGATTCACTATCTACAAGGTCGGCATCGGCAGTACAAGGAGAAGGTTCCCGAGTCACTGAAGCTTCAGAGAAAGAGGAAAAACGACGTCGTTGAGAATAAGATTAGGGCGAAGAAGAAGCGAAAAGCCAAAGAGGCATTGGTGGCAAAGAGGAACCAATTGGAGCTGATAAGGATGGTTCTGCAGAGAGAGGTTGAGAAGAAGAAAACGAAGGAATGGCAGTTGCAATTGCATTGTAACAATGAGAGTGAAGGAGAGTTGAGGAAGGAATTGCCAAATGGGGTTATGGCTATTGCTCCTGCTTCAATGCCTAATGTCAATGTACCTTCTCATTCACGTTACTTCAGGTCCAAGAATGCTTCTGTTGGTACGTTGCATTTGCAGGTGGGTTTTGACTTTTGACTTTTCAATCTACTACTTGTTCTCTCTCTTTTTAGTATCTTTTAGTCATTTGGGTGTTTGATTTTTAAGGTTGTTCCTTATGGCCGAAACTTGAAGAAGGGTAGACGGAATAAGTGTCATTGGTGCCAGAGAAGTGATTCTTGGAATCTTATAAGGTGTTCATGCTGCCAGAGAGAGTTTTTCTGCATGGATTGCATTAAACAACGGTTCGACTTGGAACTTGTTGCTTCCATTTATATATTCCTTTTCTAATTGTTATCATCGCCTACAAGATTGTAGACTATGATACATTTTGGGTAATGCTAAAGCATGAATTTCTAAGTTTGATCAGTTAAACAACTAGCTGTAGATTATTCGTGGTGCAGTTCTAAAACTCCTTAGATTAAAGGATAACCATTTTGTAGTAGTTAATAGAGATGTGTTGAATGATTTTCAATGTGAACAGAGGTTGATGAGAATCTAAAATTAAAATTGAAGGAAAAATATTTCATATTTGTTACTTCCCATATGACTTCTGTGGCCTACACCTTTTATGATGATCATCAAAATGAGCCATTTGCCAATCTATTTGTTGAAAAAAAATTAGGTATTTTGACACTCAAAATGAGGTTAAGACGGCATGTCCAGTTTGTCGAGGAACTTGCACCTGTAAAGATTGCTTGGCAAGTCAATACAAGGACAATGAAAGTAAGGTCTGACATCAAAGATGGATGCTTTTCTGCTAGAACTGTTTCTCTTTTGCAGCACTTGCTGACACTTCGATTTTGTGCTACATTTTTTCAGGAATATTTGGCTGGTAAAAACAGAGGTGATAGGATATTACATTTTCATTATTTGGTCTGTATGCTCCTTCCTGTACTAAAACAAATAAAAGAAGATCAGAATGCGGAGCTAGAACCAGAAGTGAAAACTAAAGGTAGTAATTATCGTTCTTCTAATATGGTGGTTTCTGAGTTAATCTTGTTGATTAGTACTTGGTTATCAAAAATGCTTTTGTGTGTGACAGGGAAAAGCATTTCTGATATTCTTGTCAAGCAGGTCGAATCTGGCTGCAATGAGAAAAATTACTGGTAAGCTCTCTTCTGCTGATGTTGTTATTCAAATAATTTTCTAGTGTTGCTTGCTAACAAATGTATTACGTGTGAAAAACTTGTCTCAGCATTTACTGCAAAACACCCATTTTGGATCTTCATACAAGCTGCCTTAGTTGTTCCTATAGTCTTTGCTTAAGTTGTTGTCAAGACTTAAGTCAAGGAAGCGGCTCTGAAGAAATCAACTCTTCTATATCCAAGCTAGAGGATAAGGCCATTTCTAATGGCAATTTAACTGATAGCTCAATAATACCTGAGTGGACGAGTTGTAATGGTACTGACATTGTGTCATGCTCACCTACAAAGCTTGGTGGTTGTGGTGATAACCACCTTGATTTGAAATGTGTTTTTCCCTTAAGTTGGATCAAAGAAATGGAAGTAAAAGCAGAAGAAATAGTTTGTAGCTATGACTTTCCTGAAACTTCAGATAAAAGTTCAAGCTGCTCGCTATGCATTGACAAAGATCAGAAAATTAACAGATATAAGCAATTACAAGAAGCAGCTAAGAGGGAAGATTCTAATGATAATTGCTTATTTTACCCTACAGTTTTGGACCTCAGTAGCGATCATTTTGAGCACTTTCAGAAACACTGGGGAAAAGGACATCCTGTAGTAGTGCGAGATGTGCTCCAAAGTACACCAAACCTTAGTTGGGATCCACTTGTCCTGTTCTGTGCTCATTTTGAGAGGAGCATGATGAGATATGAGAATAATAAGGACTTACTTGAAGCTTGTCTGGATTGGTTTGAGGTCAGTTTCTCAACATATTTTGTATGTTAAATGCTTTTAATGATACTATCTATATTGGTCCGGACATAAAGGTCAGCCCAATCTTAGAACATTATTTATTGCAATTAATGTATTCAGTAATATAATCTACATTTTAAAGTTTAGTTATTTGCTATTTTCAACTGGCATAATTGGCGCTTATACCCATTATATGCTCAGATCTGTGGCACATGAAAATATGAAATAATGATGGATCTGCTTGAGTCTTGACTCTTGAAAGACTATTAAAAGTATAATATTAAATTTTGAACTCTTACTCTGGCAGGTGGAAATTAACATTAGCCAGTATTTTACTGGGTCTCTAAAGTGTCAACCTCAGAAAAATACTTGGCATGAGATGCTGAAAATAAAAGGGTGGTTGTCTTCTCAGCTATTCAAAGAACAGTTTCCAGCTCATTTTGCTGGAGTAATCGATGCTCTTCCAATTCAAGAATACATGAATCCCCTGTCTGGTCTTCTGAATTTAGCTGCAAATTTGCCACGGGGGAGTAAAAATCATGACATGGGACCATATGTCTTTATTTCATATGGCTGTGCTGATGAAGAAGCTGATTCTGTGACCAATCTCTGTTATGGCTCATGTGATCTGGTGTGTTCGCTTGTTATATTCCATTTGTTGAATATATTTGAGTCATACGTTCCTGAACTTTTAGTTTATTTTATTAAAACTAAACATGAAAAGGTGATTTCTAATATTATGGAATATGCTTATTCTTTTGATATCTCCTTTGGTGACAAAATAATCATCTTCTGAAGTAAGAAGCATCCCCTTGAAATGCTTCCTATTCAGGAAGATGTAAGTCACTTGTACACTGAAAAAGCCCTGTTCCTAATACATACTTGATTGCATGTCTCGGAGTGAAAACCCGATAAATTTTCCAACAAAACTTGGCCAAATGAGGACTCAACTGATAATCTGTTTATTAGGAATTGATTCCATAATCCAACAAAACAAACTATTTATTAAGAATTTGTCTGGCTTTATAACAAATGTTTAAAATTGGTCTTTGCTAAAATGTTTGGAATATATGTGGTTAATTTTTTGTCTCTGTTCTTCGATTGCCCACTAACATATGTGACAATTAGTTTCTCCTTTTAGGCATTATTTTTCGTCTTCCAAATAAAAACACAATGCATTTTTACAAGTGGATGATGCTTCCAAAAGATTAAACGGCATGAAGATTTTGCACCAAGATAGACACCAAATTTAATTTTTAAGGCTGTATGTGGGTGGCTCCTGACTAGAAAGTGTGGCCAATACCTTGTATCTCAAACTTCTGACACATACAATTCAGTGATTGAATCATTGCAAAAATTCTTCCTGTCAAAGAGCAGTGCTATTCTGCACATCGTAAAAGAAGGTAGATAATAAGTGTTATTTACTTTGTCTGATTTGTAATTCCAGGTTAATATTATGGCACATACCACAGAGGTCCCTCTCTCAACAGATCAGCTTGCTAAAGTAACTAAGTTATTGAAAAAACACAAATCTCTGTGTCAAAGGATGTCTTCTAAAACTACTATTGAGCATGAAGAAGATGGGGAGCAAAATGAAACACGGAGTATAGTAAGAGAAGGAACTGACTTTTTCAGGAGAATCAATAGAACATCTTACATCTCTACTGAAGCCAAGACAATATCAAAGCGTAGTTTAGACACCAATATTTCCAGTGATGGAGAATGTTGTTCCAATTCTGAAACTGAGAAGACACGAAGCTCTTTCCACGCAACAGTTCTAAGCACTGAGAATTCTTGTGCCCAGTGGGACATATTTCGAAGACAGGATGTGCCAAAGCTCTTGGAATACCTTAAAAGACACTCTGATGAATTCTCTTATGCCAGTGAATATCACGAGAAGGTAAGTAAAGGAGAAGAAAATTCCCATGCATGATCTTGTTAGAGTTAGTGATGATTAATTTTATCTCGTGTATGCAGATTGTTCATCCCATTCTAGATCAGAGCTTCTTTCTTGACAATGCTCACAAGATGAGACTTAAGGAGGAGTTTAGTAAGTATATGCATTATCATCTTTTACAGTCTTGCATAAGTAAATTGACTTACCTTTCACTGTTTCCAGAGATTGAACCGTGGACTTTTGAGCAACGAGTTGGAGAAGCTGTCATCATACCTGCTGGATGTCCTTATCAGATTAGGAACCCTAAGGTCTCTGTTGTGTTAGTATAAAAGATTTCGTATCCCATCCATCGCTTTCTCTCTCTCTTAAATTTGAACTGTTCTTGAGCCAGACATATTTCTTCTTGTATGTGATTTTTACATCTTGAAATTTACTGACAAGTTCAAATTTGAAGTTTCATTTAAGCAGTAGGAAGGTATCACACATCATACCTTTAAGCTTAAACGAAAAACAAAAAAAATGATCACACTATTAATGGCCTTACTTTATACCTGATTGCTGATATAGGATATTTTCTATGTATTGATTTATATTGTATTTAGTTTATCTCAAGTTGTGCGAGTGTATGATGAAAGCTTGATTATTGATCTGCAGTGTTGTGTTCATGTGGAAATGGAATTTGTGTCCCCTGAGAATGTTACCGAATGTATCCAATTGATTGATCAGGTCCAGCTGCTTCCAAAAGACCATAAAGCAAAAGTAGAAAAGCTGGAGGTAGACTTCGTAATAATAATAATATTTACCAGTTCATGCTTTGTTCTCTTACATTTTTGCATGAATTGACAAGCTTTGTTTCTTTTTTGGGTTCATGAAAACAGGTGAAAAAAATGGCCCTTCATAGGATGAGTGCAGCAATAAAGGAAATACGTGAGCTTACTTGCAGAACATGACTGCACAAGCTAAGATATATTCTTAAGATGCCTCTCAACCTCTCGCGTCTTAGCCTCCAAACCAGTTTCTTCTTTTTGTTTTTGTTTTTGTTTTTTTTTTGTTTTTGTGACATTTATACCTTACTGGACGGAATCTGAAATATAATTAGCTGATCGATATATATTTCTCCAATTGTTTACTTCTAAAACGAAATTTAATTAGTGAGAGAAGAAATTTTTCATAACCGTTTATAAGAGCTATTTGCTTCCATGTCTGTGAACATTAGTTGCTCTGGTTTTTTCCTAATTGGATTGAAGCCACTGGTTTTAAAAGATACGGTAGTGGATTTATGTTATGTAAATGGTGTAACACGTTGGCTATAATCTGTTGGAGTGATATTAATAAGATAATAATACAAAAAAAAATCTACAACCATGTGTCAGATTGTGCACGCGTTTCAACTTTCTCAGTCACTTTATATATACTTCTAATGAAAGCTAGTATACTGGCTTTAACCTGCAGGTGGGCTTCAAAGGCTTACAAATTTGCAAGTTTGGATCTAAAATAAGTTTACCCATTTAATTGTGGGTTCACCTGCTTGACTCATGAGTTAAATGGATTGAGCCTGCAGGTGTAGAGACCAACCTATTGACCTGTATTTTCAAAAAGAGAAAATCAATTTTCAATAGTTTAAGAATTAAAAAATTTTAAAATTTTTAAGAGAAAGGCCGAAACTGGGAAAATTAATTAAAAAATGAAAAATTAATAATAATACAAAAAATGCAAGTTAGCCCAAAGATTAACTTGTTTAATTGTAAGCTTACATGAGCTGCTTAAATATACATAAGCTTACGAGTATCCAAACGTGTTATAAAGTAGGACTTATATGACACATGACTTGCACGTTTATGTATTTGAATTCAAGTTGAAATACTGGTAAAATGTAGATTTAACACAAAAGTTGTAATTAGTGTTAAAGTAAACAAATCCCAAAATATTTAAGCGTGAATTCATATGTTCATTAACATCTTAATATGCTATATATAACAATCCAACAATGTATTTAACAAATTTTACGTGGGCTTTAATTAAAAGTGAGTTTTGCATTTTTAATAGGATTCCAATGAAATTTACTGAAAGTGCATTAAAAAAATATATGCCACAAAAATTTCAATCATTTAAATACCGCAAACGGTTACGTAACAATCAATGTTAATGCTTAAAACTTTACATACAATAATTAAGGAAAAAATAAATAAACCTAAGAGAGATACAAACAGAAACATTAATCGCATTCTTGATTTCACTTCAAAGTGGTGACATTCTAATCATTACGGTCTACATATACCGATAATTTTCATTCCTAGTTCGATATGATAATTAGCGGGTACAGAAGTAAGGAGAAATAATCACCGCTTTATTCTTTCATCTTTCATTTTTCTTGTAAACTGTGATGCCCACAAAAATATCTGTTGGAAATTAACCAAGATAAATACAGGGAACAAAATTTTCAAAAATTAAAACTAAAACAAACGCGAGTGCCTTTTAGGACATGAAATGATTTGTTTTGGGTTACGTAGTCAAAATTGTTTCTCAAGAGCCTCCAAAAGAAAGAAATCGCCTCTTCAAGGGGCCATGAGTCCGTCAATTGTGTAAGAAAGAGACTTTGCCCAATCAGCTCTAAGTAGCAATGTCTGCAACGTCTGCATGACATTGTACCCAGGATCAAGCTTTCGCTGCCAACCCTACCAATTAAACATTACCAATATCAATTGAATTACTTCAGCAAGTACTTGTTGCATAAACGTTTACCGGCCAATAAGTTCATCTATATGTATGTATACATATAAGTGAACATGATAAAAAGAAGAAAAATAATTACCTCAAGAACCAAGGTCGTCACCATGACAGTACATACATTGCCATCAATATTGACTCTATGACGCCTAACTTTCTCAAGTAATTGCTCCATGCACTCTGCAGGATGGACCAGGTCACCTTCTGGGGTGCCCCAAAATGTAAATGCCTCTTCCACTTCCTGTTAGAAAGGACACTATGAGTGAAATGGTTCGAGATCATATTCAAAGAGTTCCAAAACACACGAACTTGTAGAAGAAAATAAAATACATTAATCTTTCGAAAATTGAACAGCTAAACAAAAATCAGTGACAGATAGCTACATGCAAAATTCAACAAAATAATCAATAATATTCAGCATCAATTAACCACAAAAGTCTGCACATCAATCCATATATAATACATTCATGTGCATATAAGTTTCGATTAAGATATCTGTTGGGTCCAGGCCAATTGGGCCTCCACTCAAAACATACCAGAGAAGGAGGAGTAGGATGGGGATTGTGGGCAAAGAGGTTGTTAAGGTAGATTCTAACAGAATGGGTGACGTGGATGAATGAGAGAGGAGGGGCTGTAGGAGGGATATAGGGGTGTTGATCAGAGGAAGGGAGGTAGGATTTATCTGGGAAGTTATTTGGGAGGGCGGCTGTCATAGGGACAGTCATTGTTGCTGCATTACATAATCCAGTTTTCCTATTGTTCTTGCGATTCCTACTTGTAATCTCAGGGATATCCCCTGACCGGTTTGTCATACATTTATAAATATATTCTGTTCTTATCAAGTTGGTATCAGAGCTCCCGATCTTGGGAGCGCCTGATGGTAACCACACGAATGGAGAATGTCGAGCGGAGATTGGAGGGCATGCAAGCCTCCATTCAGGAGGAATTGCGGAGGCAAATGGATGAGATGTTGACAATGATGACGGCGAGGTTCGAGACGGCTTTGCGTGTAGTACGAGAGGAGAGGGAAGGGGAAAATAGTAATCAAGAAGGAGGTAACAGAGGCGGTGAAGCCTGGCGAAAGGAGGAACGAGTAAGGAGAGTAGAGGTGCCCTATTTTGCAGGAGAGGACCCCCATGGATGGGTGTACAGAGCGGAAAGATATTTTGAGATTAATGGCATACCTGAGCCGGAAAAAGTGGATACCGCAGTAGTGTGCTTGGAGGGGAAAGCCCTCAATTGGTACCAGTGGTGGGAACCGAGAGTGCCGACCGCCACGTGGCCCATTTTCCGGCAAGCATTATTGGGTCGTTTTCGGTCGTCATCTTCAGAGAATCCTTACGAAGCTCTAATGGGGCTAAGGCAGAGGGGAACAGTGATTGAATACCGAGAACAGTTTGAGTTGTTCTCTGCTCCACTACGTTTTGCTGACGAGGAATTTATGATTGGGGCATTCCTCAATGGCTTGAAGGAGGAGGTCAAGGCTGAGGTGAGGTTGCGGGACTCCGGAGACTTAAGCACGATCATGGATTTTGCTCAGAAAGTGGAGGAGAAGAATATGGTATTGGGCTTTCCTTATGGCAGGGGGAGCGGGTCAATGGGTCCAAAGCCACATTGGGCCTTAAGGGTAGGGGCCCAAGAAATGACTAAATTAAATGGGACGGGGAGAGGTGAGCCCAATTCGTCATCGGGGTTTAGGCTTCTTGCTCGCACTAATGGCAGTCGGGTTGAAGGCCCAGGGAACCGCAATAGTTCACGAGATTCCTTCACACCTTCGAGCTCAAATCGCAGAGGCCTAGGGTTCAAACGGCTAACCGAAGAGGAGGAAAACGACAAAAGGAGGAGGGGCCTTTGTTTTCGCTGTGATGAAAGGTTTACCCCGGGCCATGTGTGCCGCAACAAGCAATTACATGTGGTTTTGATGGGAGAAGAGGAGGCGGACCAGGGCAGGGTTTCCATTGAAGAAGACAATGAGGAAGAAATGAACCTCCAGCTAAATGCGAGTAGCATAGCGGGGATGACCTCCAAAAATTCATTGAAGCTGTGGGGTACTATCTCGGGTAAGAAGGTGATAGTCATGGTGGATTCCGGCGCCTCCCACAACTTTTTATCTCCGGAACTGGTGGAGGAGCTGAAAATACCCACTGAAGCTACAAGAGGGTACTTTGTGGAGGTAGGGGATGGTCAACGGTTGGGAAGTCAAGGGGTTTGTAGGAGTGTCGTACTTGAACTACCCAACCTACAAGTAGTTCAGGATTTCTTTCTCTTCGATTTGGTGGGCGTGGACGTTATTCTGGGGTACGAGTGGCTTAAAAGTTTGGGAAAATTTAGTGCGGACCTACGACAGCACTTGATTGAGGTGCAGAAGGAGGGAAGGACCATTGAGATAAAGGGAGACGTGGGGCTGTCCAGAACTGTGGCTTCGTTAAAGGCAATAAGGAAGGAACTGAGGGGAGAGGCAGAGGCATATTATGTAGAATTGGGGATGCTGCATATGGGCTGTTCTGAAACTTCTACTCAGGTGTTAAACACCACATCTAAAACGATGAAGGAGTTGTTATGGAAATTCGGAGAACTATTCAAGGAGGGAACTGCTCTTCCACCGGAAAGGGAGTGCGATCACGCTATTGTCTTAAAGGAGGGAGCCACCATTCCCAACATTAGGCCTTATCGACATCCGCACCGTCACAAAGAGGAGATTGAAAAATTTGTGAAGGATATGTTAGCAGCAGGTATGATCAGGCCGAGCACCAGTCCTTATTCCAGTCCACTGATTCTCGTAAAGAAGAAAGACGGGAGTTGGCGTTTTTGTGTAGATTATCGGGCCTTGAATAGCATCACCATCCCCAACAAGTTTCCAATTCCTGTCATTGAGGAGCTGCTGGATGAATTAGGAGGGGCAACAATTTTTTCTAAGCTTGACCTAAAATCAGGCTACCACCAAATACGAATGAGACCAGAGGACATCCCTAAAACGGCATTCCGAACACATGAGGGGCATTACGAGTATGTGGTAATGCCATTCGGGCTAACCAACGCTCCTTCAACCTTCCAAGCACTGATGAACTCGGTTTTTAAACCTTACTTGCGTAAATTTGTACTAGTGTTTTTTGATGATATTTTAGTGTATAGTGCAGATCATAGTTCACACGTGGACCATTTGCGATTAGTCCTTCAGCTTTTGAAGAGACATGAACTGTGGCTCAACGGCAAGAAGTGCAGCTTTGGGGAATTACAGTTAGAATACTTGGGGCATATCATTTCACCCATTGGGATCTCTGCTCACCCTGCAAAGGTCTCTGCTATGAGACATTGGCCACAGCCTAAAGACATTCGAAGTCTAAGGGGGTTCTTAGGCCTGACGGGTTATTATCGCCGTTTTGTACAAAATTATGGAATTATTGCTAAGCCCTTAACACAGTTGCTCAAGAAGAACAGTTTCAAGTGGTCAGAAACAGCACAGGGGGCATTTGAGAAACTCAAGGGAGAAATGGAGGCGCTGCCTACTTTAGCCATGCCCAACTTTGATTTACCATTCGTGATCAAAACAGACGCTTCAGGTTATGGGTTAGGGGCTGTCCTTATGCAGCAGGGTCGACCCTTGGCCTTTATTAGCCAAGCTCTTTCAGATAGAAACAAGGTGAAATCAGTGTATGAACGAGAATTAATGGCGATTGTGTTCGCTGTTCAGAAGTGGCGACAATATTTGTTGGGTCACCGCTTTACTATTCGTACTGATCAAAAAAGTCTGAAATTTTTATTAGAGCAACGCGTATTGGTGGGGGAACAGCTGAAGTGGGTCACCAAACTGATGGGGTTTGACTTTGAAATTCAGTACAAGCCGGGAATGGAGAACAAGGCAGCTGATGCATTATCCCGAATAATGACTTGCAGTGCAATATCCATGGTCACCCACTCTGACCTAGTAGAGTTGGCTGAGGAGGTTATGGAGGATGAGCAGTTGAAGGGAATTATACAGAGGGTAGTAACCGATCCTAACTCACATCCACACTATGCAGTAGCACAGGGCTGTTTATGGTATAAGCAAAGGTTGGTATTACCTAAGAAGTCTGGCAGAATTCCATTGTTGTTGGTGGAATTTCATGCATCACCTTGGGGTGGCCATTCTGGAGTTACTAGGACATATAAGAGGCTGGCCATGATTTTTTATTGGACTGGAATGAGACGAGATGTGGAGAGGTTTGTGGCTAGTTGTCAGGTGTGCCAACAGAACAAACATGAAACCTTGAAACCAGCTGGGCTTCTTCAACCTCTACCAATTCCCGAGCATGTATGGGAAGACATATCCATGGATTTTATTGGAGGATTACCTCGGGCAAAAGGGGCAGACAGTATCATGGTAGTAGTAGACCGACTGAGCAAATACGCCCACTTTATTCCGTTGCTCCATCCATACTCGGCTACGGAGGTAGCAGCAGTGTTCGTTAAGGAAATCGTGCGTTTGCATGGGTTTCCCAATTCTATAGTCTCCGACCGGGACAGAATATTCATTAGCTCATTTTGGAAAGAGCTTTTTCGTCTCTCGGGCACACGGCTTAAATTCAGTTCAGCTTACCATCCTCAAACAGATGGTCAAACCGAAGTGACTAACCGTACCATTGAAGCATATTTGAGGTGTTTTGTTAATGATCATCCTCGTCAATGGGTGAAATGGCTACCATGGGGGGAGTTTTGGTTTAATTCCTCATTTAATGCATCCATACAAATGACTCCCTTCAAGGCGTTATATGGCCGTGATCCTCCCATGGTCATTCCCTACTGCAAGGACAGTACTACAGTGGCTGATGTGGACAAATTGCTACAGTTCCGGGATAGTATTTTGGAGGAGCTCAAGCAACATTTAATTAGAGCACACATGAGAATGAAGGAGCAGGCTGACAAAGGGCGTAGGGAGGTGGAATTCCAGACTGGGGACATGGTATACCTGAAAGCCAGACCTTACAAACTGAAAACCTTGGCCAGGAAGGTTAATGAGAAGTTGAGTCCAAGGTTTTATGGCCCATTTCTAGTGGAAGGAAGGATTGGAGCTGTTGCTTATAAGTTGCTGTTGCCGGAATCATCACGCCTGCACCCGATTTTTCATGTTTCTCAGCTCAAGAGGGCTCCCCCAACGAGCCAAGCATGTCAAGAATTACCACCATTTTTAACAGAAGAGTTAGAGCCTCAGGTTGAGCCTGAAGAAGTGCTGGACGCTAGGAGATTGTTAAATGGTAGTTGGGAGGTGTTGGTGAAATGGAGGAATCTGCCTAAGGAAGATAGCACTTGGGAAGAATATGAACTGCTGCAAGCCATCTTCCCCCAATTCAACCTTGAGGACAAGGTCCCTCTCAATGGGAGGAGTATTGTTGGGTCCAGGCCAATTGGGCCTCCACTCAAAACATACCAGAGAAGGAGGGGTAGGATGGGGATTGTGGGCAAAGAGGTTGTTAAGGTAGATTCTAACAGAATGGGTGACGTGGATGAATGAGAGAGGAGGGGCTGTAGGAGGGATATAGGGGTGTTGATCAGAGGAAGGGAGGTAGGATTTATCTGGGAGGTTATTTGGGAGGGCGGCTGTCATAGGGACAGTCATTGTTGCTGCATTACATAATCCAGTTTTCCTATTGTTCTTGCGATTCCTACTTGTAATCTCAGGGATATCCCCTGACCGGTTTGTCATACATTTATAAATATATTCTGTTCTTATCAATATCACAAAACAAATCCAAAATAACAAGTTCTCGGAGGGAATTGAACATCAGTTGACTGAATAACAAATAAATTTAAGTTTTAAAAAATACCTCAATGAAAGCCTTTGGATTTGGACAGTTCTGTTGCTTCGATAAACTGAGGGTGCATTCTGCAGCAGTTCGGCCATCTCGGCGGGCAACAGCTTTAAAAAATTCCAGTAAATTTACTCTATCACTACCAGAGAGTTCAGCAGTCATGCCTACATCAAGGAAAACTACATGAGGCTTTGATTTGAAGAGCCGTTTTTGAGACTTCCTCTGAGACATTCGAACAAGGATATTTCCAGGATGCATGTCTGCATGAATGAAGTTGTCCACCTGAAAGAAGAAATAGCATTGTCTTGGAAGCTAAAACTTTATGTTCAAGTTTAAAACTATTATAGGACCAATATTTCTTTTAGTTCATATTAAGGATTAGGATGTGATATGATTATTATTAATAGGTCAAACATGTGCATTCAAAAAACAAAATATTATTTTGGAAAGAAGAAAATTAATTATAACTAAGAGAAAAATAAGGATAGCCATAGATGAAGATGCCCTACTAAAGAAAACCCAATAAATAAATAAGATAAGTAGATCTAATCAACCAAGACCAGATAACTATGTAACTTTACAAAAATATCCAACAAAGAACATCCCCTCCCCCCAAAAAAGACTGTAATGAGCTAAAAAGGACGGTTCACTCCTAAAGACAGTTTCTAGAATGAGTGAGTTGAAACCTACTGAAAAAATGGTTAGGGATTTTATATAAAGAAAACAAACATCATAATAAATGATGGATATGTTGGAACCCACTCCATTAATCTTCATATTAGCAATTAAAATTTGAATTTTACTCTATAAAGTCCAGCTGAACCCAAATGCTCAAAAACAAACTGCAATATATTACTTTTTAAAAAAGAAAGTCAACAGGAAAGACTAAATTAACAGCCCATGAGTAGGAATTATGTCACAACACAACAATTTACAAATATGCTCCAGCAAATTCTTTTACGAGAAATGGTCATCAAGTTCTATCCAAAACCAAACTTTCAATAAAAACCATCCACATATACCAAGGTCTTTGTTAATGATTTCACCTAATACAAACTTTCAGTTGCTCACAGAGGCCTTTTTCTAATCCATTTCAAAATATAAAAGTTCAAGGCCTTGTTTATGGTTTTCACCACAGTAAATCCCATTTTTTGTTCCAATATCTCTTGCCAAAGAAAAAGGAAAATAGATAACTGAAAGGAATATATTTTAGTTCCCCTAGCTTGCAATGCTAAGCATTAGAAATAAGGCAAAGTAGCTAGGATTGTTGAAATTAAAGCAGCTAGTAAAAAATTAGTTAGATGGTTAGCTAAAATACTAGGAGGGGAGAAGATTAAAAAAGAGGTAACCCTTTGCAGAGGCAGAGGGAAAACCCTTGGAGGAGACAGCTCTCCTTGCTTTGTGCATTCTCAGTCAAGCTATAAAATCATTTATTTCTTTAATCTATTTTATATTCTGGGTTTGTAACAGTTGCTTATCAGATAAGAAGTTACCATAATGAAGCCCCAACCTCAGTAATGAAGGTATATAATTTTTCCCTTTAAATTGTTACAGTTCTCCCCGACAGTCATATTATCTAAAACAAGAATTATGCTTGTTTTTACACATGGGCCACTATTTCTTTAATATTCTGTTGACTTATTGAGTGCTTGTATTAATTCTGACTCTATTATTATATTATTTGAGGTCATCAGTCATAATGATTTTCACTGATGATACATAATAAATCAAGAATGCCCAAAAAAAAGCATTGAAAATAGTGGAATATCAGTGACAAAAAATTGCAAAGAGAGATATACTATACCAGAAGCATCTTCAAAAGTGCATGAGTCCCAATGTGAGCAAGAGCAGATTTAATCCGCTCATGTCCTTGAAGATCGTCAACATAATACGAGACACTTTCACCCTTTTCATATGTTTCCACCAGAACGGCAGGGTGTACAAGAGGATATACAGGCTTAGGGAAAGAGACATCCTTCCATCTACGGAAATTATAGATAAACCGGCTCAAATGGGCAGCTTCCCTGGCAAGGTCAACTTGAGACATCATGAAAACTGCAAATTGTTGTACACTCTCATCTAATCTTAACCAATTAAGAGCAGGAATGAATTTTGACATTTTTGCCACCAAATTAATTATAGCAAAATCCCGTCTGATTGACTCTCCCACGCCAGGATGTCTAACCTTTACGGCAACCACCAGTGGCTTTGTTTGCTGGCCAGGATATCGATATTTTAATGAAGCGCGATGCACTTGGGCAATGCTTCCAGATGCAACAGGCATTTCTTCAAAATTGTCAAAAATTTCAGAAATTTTTCGACCAAATGCCCTTTCTATAGTTTTCTTTGTGTAGCTAAAACTGTGTTCAGGAGCTTTGGTATGAAGTTCAGAAAGCTTAGTGCATAGATCACGTGGAAAGAGATCAGGCCGTGTTGCTGCCCACTGACCCCATTTTATGAACGCTGGACCTGATTTTTCCAGTGTGCGATGAACAATACGGAGCCACAGTTTCCGAAATTCTGGTCCAAAACAATCTGCAAATGGTGCCATTACAATGCTAGGAGAGAATAATATTGCTAGATAGAGAGCCCTCGCTAACAAGACAAGACCTTCAACTATCATGAATGTAAATGTAAACATGTAATTATACCCATCTTGTGCACGCATATACAAAGCATTCTGTGATGGGTAATGTTCTGCATCTGCCCAATTTCGCTGAGCTAATGCAAGCTCTCCACATGTAAATGCCAAAATACCAGGAACTAGCAAATAAGAACGAGACAAAGCCAAGGTCACTGCCTGAGCAATCATATTTATGGTAGGAGGAAATGTACTGTCACCACTGGAACAATACTTTCTGTACAGCCTTTTCCAAGCAATCTGAGAATGATGTGTGACTGCATTACTTGCTGATGTTACAGAAAAGTTCCTAAAAGAACAGCATTTATGAAAGCCTTCCCTCGCTCCATACCACAAGAATGATCTACGTGCTTTACTAGGAAACTTATATTGCATGTACAACCTGCAGTGGTGGATATTCGGTCCAACTGAGACAATTGACCCATTTCTACTCACTGCCAGGTATCTGCTATGGATTCTATGAACAGACCGGACAGCTCTTATTATATTTCTTAGCATCAAAAATCTGCAAAGTGCAAAACAATAACTATGTCAACAACAATATTTAATCACACAATTCAACAATATTTTATTATTTTATAAATAAATCATTACTTTGGACGTGCTAGCCACAGTGGCTTCTCTTCACTCATGACTGTAGCAGGTATACATGTAGATGAGCATTAAATTTTACACGAGTGTACACAGTGTCCATTCCTCCAAAATGCATTAAGTGGTCAAAAACTCAGTTGATACAGCGTATAATACACCCCCCAATATTTGTTCCTCATTTATTGGAGTCTCAATCCATTCCCACTCAGTTATTGCCACCTTTAAATATCAAAAAATAAAACATGTTTAAAACAATTACAACAGACTGTGTAACACTCCAAGGTGGTATAGATAAATAGGGAACTTAATGCGGTAATAGTTGTTCTTTCTATACATTTCCTTTTGTAGAACAGATCCCTACCCAGCTCAAATTGTGGGAGTTCATGAGATTATAGTACCCAAAATGCTGGAAAAACAAAAATTAAACCAATAGTATTTTTCTGAGACCCAATGAATAGAGAATCATTGGGATTTCAATGATTTATACTCTTGACTCCAGATGCATTTCCCGCATCAAAGATCACGTGTCTTACATTCAACCTCAGAAAGAAACAAGCAAACCATTCTCTCTTTAATAATAATAATAAAATAAAATAAAAACTCATTAGCATCTATGCAATGCCATAAATCAACTAAAAATAAATAAAATAAAATTCCCTAAACGCCAAGGAAAACGAAATTTGAGAGAAAAACAAGGAAGCAAGGAATGAAAGAAAGGGACCTGGGAAAGAAGAGAACATGCTACTTTGGTGAAGAAGAAGAAGATTTAGAAGGAATGGAAGATGCGATTATGCAGCTGAGCCTCAGTTTTGTGCGATTGTGAGAAGACGTTGTTGAGGCGGTCCTAACCAATACAAGAAACCCTAAGGCCCAAGAAATTCATTTGTCTTTCAACAACGAACAGTTTGTATTTTTAAAAGAAACTTTTAATTTAGTAAATAATGGAAAGTAGCTTGAAGATTTTTTAATTCCCCTCCTTAGTTCTTTATAAAATTTAATGTGATGGTAATTTAAATTTTCAAATAATTAATTTGAAATCAACATAATAATTCTACATTTTAAAAAGAGTAATTTAGTGAACAACATTTTAAGGAACTATTATGTACATCTAATTCTGAAACATTAAATTGCATTTTTTTTATTTGACAAATAAAAATTAAATTATTTTAAAGTAAATATCTATTAAATAATACATATATATATATATATATATATATTAAGATAAATTAGATAATTCATATTTTTACGTAAACTACTTTTAGATTTGTAAGAGATTTTTCACAATAAATCATTTGATCATGTAAGAATTTTAATTATTTAAAATTTTAATCTATTTTTATAAAACAAAATCTTGAACCAAATTATAATATTTTATTATTAAATATTTGGTTAGTACTCTAATTTTCTATAAACTAAACTCTACTTACTTTAAAATCTCATAATATAATATCAATCAAATATTTTATTCATTTAAATGATTCGTCAAATCAACTTTTCGATCTTTATAATATCAATAAAATCATTTTTTTTCTTTCATATTTTGTTATGTAGAATTTTTAATATTTTTGTTTGAAAATAATATATAAATACACTCATGCTATGATATTGTTGGTGACAAAGATCTTTTCTGTATACGTAAGTCTGTGTTTGCATTTATAAAATTTTAGTATTATTTTATATAAACTAAAGGTATTCTTTAATTTTTTTACTTTTTTATTAATTTAATTTTAAATTTTAGGAATTAAAATAATTATTCAAATTTCTTGTTTTATTTTATATAAAATTCCAGATTTTCAGTAAGTCTTTGTGTTTGCATTTATAAATTTTTCGTGTTACCTTGAGCCAATACAAAATATCACAGGATATTTATAATTTATTATAGAAATATAACTCTATCAATTTTTATTTTTAAAAATTAAAAGTTTTGAGTAGTCATACGTCTATATTATAATCTGTTTATAGTATAATTAACATAAAATTATATATTTTAAAGATTTTATTTTTTACATTTCCATGAAAGTCCAGTAAAATAGATGAGATGGTATTGAGATTTGCATTTTGAATGAATCATTGAATGAGTTGAAGTGAAAACAATTGGTAGCCACAGTTTTACACCACTGGTTGAGAGCTACGTATGCGTTCTTATATGATAGAACGTGTCATTTTTAAGTGCATAAATAAACAAAAACAATGCTCGATGTTTAAGGCTAACCTACTTTCATTTACATGGTGTCACGATCTTCTTTTTTATTTAATACGAACACGATGCTGTTACCTTTAGTTAACGATTTCAGGAGAAGAGAATTAAAAATAATATAAAAAATGTTTCTCACACAAATATTGGGCTCAATGAGCCCACTAACATTAAGATGAGCAGAGTCAAAAGCCCAACATCAATTATAGATCTTTCAGGAATATCTTATAGCAATCCTGTTATTAATCAAAAAGTAAGATTTATTTTTTTCACCCCTTTCTTATAAAATATTTAAATTTAGAAACCATTTATTCAAACCTATACGATTAGTCTAAATCCAGTTGAACAAACTACTTCGCCCAACTTTATGTAAATGTTGGATGAAAATATCTCATTTCAGAAAATAAAAAAAAAATTTGACAAAAAAAATATATAAATATTGTCTAGTTTTATGTAATTTTTTAAGTAAACAATAACCTTTAGGAAATATATGGATTTATTGACATTCTTTTGCAATAAAATTTCATTTTCCTAACTTTAGTTGTAATCATAACCATATGTATTATTTTTTAAATAAAAATATAATTTATTTCAATAGTTAATATAAGAATATTATGTAATTATTATTTCTTATTATATATTGTATTTAGACATAATTTATTTATGATATATAACTATATTCTTAATTTAGACTAAGACATTAGAAAAATAGAATATTCTATAATTAATTTTTGTAAATGACCTTGTATTATTTATTTAAAAGAATGGAATGAAAAAGACATCAATCAAAGCCAAAATGACTTGACATGGTATCATGAGTCACTTGTTCTATATTATTATTGTTTTAAAGACATTTTTATTAGTTGCTCTTGTTTTTTATTCGTGCATGCAATTTTACTCGCCTGTGTTTTTGGTTTTATGACACAACTCACTCTTGTTTCTGGTTTATGTTTGTGACTTTATTCGCTCTTGGTTCATGACTCTATTTACCCTAATTGTGGGTTCATAATTTTTTGGTCTCAATGTTGTGATTCAAGTTCACGACATTCTTCCTCTTACAATTCTTCGTTTCTTAATCTCATATTCATAACTACAAAAACTCTTGTGTTCGTTTCAATGGCAAGAACTATGTTGGTTGAGTATTTTAGTTCAAAATAAATGCAAAAAGGAAAGAAATATGGGGACACGTTGACAACTCTTCAGCAGTCCTCAAGGTAGCTAGCATGTTAGCAGCTTGGGAGATCAAGAACTCATTGGATTCTTGGATTTGTTGAGCTGTAATGGTTAATAATATTCGATGCTTTATTATTGCCAAATACATATAAGATTACTAAAAAATGATTTATAATTCGGACAACGCTGCAAAATGATTTTAGCTAGAGCTTGATATTGCAAGTTATAAAGAGGGTAATCTTTCTATTTATGATTATTACTTTGGTTTTCTTAATCTTTGAGCTGAAAATTCATTCATCTTAGATGCTAATGTCCCTAAGAAGTTGTTAGTCGTTACTCAAGCAGTTTATAAGACCAACAAACTTGACCAATTTTTGAGCTAGTCTACTGAATCAAGATTTCACAACAAGAAAATTTATATTTAGCAATCAACAAAATCGGTATCTAAAATATAAAAATTGGTTGCAAATTTTTTTAGCCACTAATATGTTGGTTGCAAACACATTTAGCGACCAAAAATGCATTCGGTTGCAAAAATTTGAAATTAGCAATCGCAAAATTTCAGTCACTATTTTGCCGCCACCAAGCTGGCAGCTATTTCAGTTGCTAATTGTGACCACTTAATTCAGTTGCTAATTATAATCCCAAATTTTGGTTGCTAATTAGTTGTATTCTGCTAACCTATAATATTGGTAGCTAATTTGTTGCAATTTTGCGTCTACCTTTTTTTGGTTGCTATTTTGGTGTCTAAATTTCATCAAATATTTGGTTGTTAAATTAGTCGCTAAGTCAGCGGCTAAATTCGATGGCTAATTATAATGAATAATTAATTTTTTTTTAACAAGACTTATTTGTATTACAAAACATGCTTATATAAGACATAATATTTAACAAAACCTGCTAATAGTTATATTTTACAAACATGGTAAAAAAATACATCTAAAGAAGTAAATTACATCTTAGAATCCATAACAATATATATTTCACTTCATAACAAAAGTGTAGGTCATTTTATAAGAAGGTACAATCATTGACATAACAAATAGAAAAAAAAAAAGTCTTAAATCATGAATGTGGATCAATGTCATCATGAGGAGAACCAACATCATCAGTGTCAACATGAGAACCATCCATTTGGATACTGGTAGAAATTTCCAAGTGTTTAACAACTTGTTGAAGGATGTTTTCGATCTTTTATAGTTTTGAATTGGTCCTCTGTAATTCAGATTGCATAGTATCAATGTGTATATCCTTTGCTGCTAATTCTGCATTAAGGTTGGCAATGATTTGCTGATAATTAACACTAGAACTAGGATCAAACTGAGTACAAGGAGAGGGTGACATCACAAACTCTTCACCTAGTTGTCATAACCCATACATATGACCTTTTTTGTTTTTTCCTCCAACAACTTCTAAAAAATAGTATTGTCAGCAGCTATAGAACGGTCACCTGAGGCACATTCTTCACCATGATCATCATTGTTATGCGCATGAGTTTCAGTTCAACATTGAATAAACTCATCCTAAAAAATAATACTCTTATTAGTTATAATTTATAATAAAAGTTAGACTAAAATTTAAAAAAAGTAATTTGTAGAAAGGTATATACTAAAATATTTTTGGCTTTGTCATTGACCCATTCTTTAATTTTATTCTTTTTTGTCTTTCCCATTATATCAAATGTTGTGGGAACTTACTTAAGTTGCTCAATCTGCATAATATTACAAGTGTAAAGTTCCAATGAAGAAAATTATTAAAAAAAAAAAGATAATTTATATAATTACTATTCTATCACGATGCACAACAGTAGATACAAAGCCACTGGTGTACAAAGATGCTCCACCGTCTACAAATCTAGTTTGTTTCGCAATAGTACTTTTTTTTTAAACTCTTCTCCTCTCAATGAGTGTGCCGCTCTTCTTTTACATCAGGAGTGATCCAAAGGCCCTTATCTTTACCATTTCGTAACTTAGACATTATGTTCTTTAAAATCACAGAACCTTTATGCTCAAAAATAAATCTAATGATAAGATTATGTTAAGAGAGCCATTTGTATGTTTTCTACAAATAAAAAAATCAAATAGAGATATACAATAACATATATAGGAGTCATTAATAACATGAAATACAAAAGTAATTTTATTAAAATTATCCCCCTTCCTTTAATATTTAAGATAATCACCCCATAAATATATATGCTTGACAATTATTTTAGAATTGCTTAATATTAAAGATAATTGATGGGTTTAATATTTACATAACACAATGACTTTAAAATATGTTACCTTAAACTCTTCAAACCACATATTCCTCACTTCTTGTGGCACCTTGGTCCAAGTAGGCGATGGACTATCAAACTTAGACTTGATTATTTTGGAAATAACCTTCGAAGGACCATCTGAAGGTAGATAACTATTGGAAAAAAAATAAATAATGATATTATAGAATTAGATAGTTATAAAGAAAATATTTTGATATAATATGTGTATATCAAAACTAACTTACTCATGTTTGACTT